GAGGAGCTTAATAGCTCTGGCGTCCGCACCAACCAAATAAATGAAGACGTGCCGGATAACAAGGAGCTTTGGAATGTACGTATATTTCGCGCATACAGCCACTAATCTTTACTCTATGCTATCCAGGATATTGCTTGAGGAATCTACAAGAATATACTGGTCACTCCCGAGAAGTTCTTTCGTTTCAAAGGACGTATACCTTGCCTTGCCTCGCTCATCATGCGGGTGCATTCATTCAGTAAAGACATCGGTCACTTGCTAGTTGACGAAGGCCACTCTATGGGCCATACCACTGGCTTCACTCGCAAAGGAGAGAAGGCTCCATTTTGTTCTGCATACAGTCGGCTCAACGATGTGTTGGAATTCTGTGTTCGTTATCGCTCGCATCATGACGTGTCGATTTATCATATAGATTCCGAGTTTTATTTAGGTATATATTCATGTCGTAGCTACTTGGATTATTCACGCGATTGCCCTTCGGGCACCCTCCTCTTGCCCGGGACAAACGCGCTGTGCGTCGTCGCGAGCCCGTGCGATCTCAAATTTCTACACGAGGTTAGAGTTGTCATCCCCTTGTCGACAGTCATGGTTCTTTCAGCAACCCTCCCTCCTCCGACGCTCTACACCATCCTCGACAGCATTTGTATTAATCCCAAGAGGGTCATTAAGTTATTTCTCTCGACGAACGGCCAGAATTTTCTTACACATTCCACCAGGTGCATAACGGTCCCAAGAACCTCAAGAACCTACATTTCCTCATCACTCTCTCGCCTAGTCCCACACCGCTGCCAAAGACATTAGTCTTTGTTGACACACGTGATTGATCGCAGGACATTACGCACTACTTACGCCATAGATTCCTCGCAGAGCTGCAGAAAAAACAAATTGTATCGCCCCTAGCCTTCACTCCAGCATGTCTGAAGATTTCAACCAGTGCGTCTTCGAAGACTTCGAGAATACAGACAAGATTGCAACAATTATTGCAACCAGTCGCGCTTCGAACATGAGTCCTTCCACTTTATTATTACTATCATATTGACGCGAATACAGGGAGTCAATGTGGCATCTATATTATTGGGTAACACCGCGCTCCAGTGCACGGCAAAGCTTCAAACCGGTCAGTGAATTAATGAGGTTGAGTGAGTGTATTTTAGTGACATTTTGTCATGTCAACTTTTGAACGTGCATGCAGGAGAGTCGGCTTTGATTGATTCAAAATTTCACGCCCGCGTGCGGCGTCTTCAGTTCTCAACAGCTGTCTAGGTTTTAATAGATTCGGTATGGTTTAAATATCTTGGTCCTTGTATTTAAATTTTATTTTATTCAGCCTTCTTTGCTACGATGTACGTGTTCTGTCGGTGGCTGGTGAACATTGTATGCTGTGACTTCAGACTCGACTCACGTCCAAAGTTATGGAGAATATGCCTCATCCACAGTGCATGGCCATAGAGAGCCTGAGCGCCATGATTTGATACTTAAAGAACATTAATGGGCTGTGCAAAAGTCATCTGGGTGCGCAGGTCACCTTCTAAAACATCGCCATCCGTTGAAGCTGCAAGCAAGAGACGGTTCGCCACATCAATGACTTACGGGTTAGTGTTGCTATGCAGAGTTTTTGTGGATAAATCAATAGCATTGGCGCACAAAATAGCGCCGACCGGCACTATCTCGATCCTTAAGTGTGTCGCAATATTACTCGATATGATACTTTGAAGGAGGGATGGGTCCGAGTCAGCTGCAGAGGCTGCAGTTCCGTTAAGGAGATAGTAAAATGAGATTGTATGTCGCAGATGACGCTCAGTAGTTGTTCAGTGTGAGCGTGAAGACGCCATAACAAGAGAAATGTCTTGAAATGTCTCACAAAACAAGACCGATGTTAGGTCACATGACCTCATTCAATTTTTCAATCGACCAGCCATCTGTCGTGCCGTTAGCATGCCCTTCTAACTCAGTTACCTCTAGTGGTAACTGGAATCTTGTTTACTTTGCTACGGTGCACCACAAACGCTCATCAACTTGTGGCAGATGTTCGGGCGCGCAGGACGTCTCCCCAACCTGCGGGGTGTCGCGCTCGTGATCGCTGAGCCATGGGCCTTCAGTACCGAGGAAAGCGAGAAGCTCTCAAACGCGGAGAAGCGCACGGACATGGATGTCCATGAATATATATCACTCACAACTTGCAGACGCGCCTTCAAGGCCAAAAACAACGACAACAACTGTGAGGAAGGTACGTTAATCCGCACGTGTTAACATTTCAATTTTACAGCAAACTAACTATGCTACAGAAAGAACCACAAGATACGGGCTCTGCTGCGACATCTCCCCTCGCCCTCTCTATACTCCAGCCCTTCCGACGGAGGATTGCGGCCAGAGTTCAACGCAAATGACAGCCAACACACCGGGGGAAAAAAAACCCGCTCTAAGGTTAAGTGAGGCGCCATCACAGCTCGCTTCAAAAAGTGGCAAATTGAAACGATCCGCACATCAGCATATGCTGGCCTCTGGCCCCGAAATCACCCTGCTATGCAACAATAAGATCGAAAAAATAACCAAGTCGTCCCTTGGGTCACTCAGCTCCCTTGCAGATCTTGTCACGCTGCTCAAAGAGAGCGACGAGTGGGCTGATCAACTTGGTGGTGGGGTATTTGCCATTATACAGGAGCTTGACACCGAGGAACTCGTGAAGCACCCACATATCAAGCAAGAAACTGACACTAACGAGGTATTCACACAGAGAAGGTATGCTCACAAGGACACAACCAAATCGTGGGCTGCTGTCTACACTTCAAAATTTAAATTTAAGATAGATCCTGATGATTTATTTCCTGAGTCATTGGGCTCTTTTACTGCTCAAGCTGAAGGCTCTCAGCCCGGCAAACAGAGGACGATGGGGAATTGGGAACTTTTGGAGTTCGGTGTTCGGTGTTCGCCTTCTAAGTTCGGCGAAGGAACCGGGGGTCCCGGTCCGGGTCAAAGCACACGATTATGATTCAGACGTCCCCTCATTCTCGTCAGTCATCATTACAATGAAGAAATCCGCAGGCATTCTTGTTCCAGCAGCACTGCCAGCCCGAATACAGATGTTATTCAAGTACTAGGATAGGCGAGGGCGGTAAGGTGATGACAC